GGCTCTCTACTCCTTGATGAATGAATCACTCCTTGCTCTCAGTCATCAGTTATCACACACGTCACAGTGTCCTTTTACTTCTTTATTTTCCCCACTAGACTCTGAGCTGTGTTGAAGGCATCAACTGAGTGTCTACCATAGTGCTTGACATGGGAGACTTTAAATAACTGTTGAACAATAACAACTGAATGGTCTGTCTGATCTTTGTGATAACAAATTTTCACAAGAATTATGAAAAAGGCCGTTTTGATGGGGACCATTTGATCTGAGCCTTAAGCCTGAGGGTGCCTGAAATTTTGTTTGCCTTTAAGTGACGTGGGCAGGGAAGAGGGTGAGCCCTGATCAAGTGCAGGTGTTTAACAAATATTTATTTCTGCCTCTCCATTTGATTAGTTATTATTATTTGTATTATATTTCTCAATGAATTTTGCTTTGAATGAATATATAAGCTAGCATGATGTATCACAGAGCAGTTGAGCATAAATGTCAATTTTTAAAGAGAATCCCAGTGTTGACTATGTACCCTGAAATCTTGACCAAGGTCTCTCCTGTCTCTATCACATCTCTTGCAACTTCTTCTAATCTCCATTCGCACTGCTTGCCCCACCGTAGCTAGTCCCTCACCATCTCCCATCTGGTTTGCCATCATCATCTGCCAGCTTCAGTACACTCTCCTTATTAGACTGGAGTTCCTAAAACTCAGCACTAATCTTGTCATTTCCCTGCTTAGAAACCATCCATGTTTCCCCATTAGCTACAGAATCATTCTTTTAAGACCCCATAATATTACCCCAAACTGACTTTTCCAAAAGTTGGTTTCCAAACTACCTTTCCAGAACCCTGTATGATTCTTACGTGTTTTAAAATATCCTATTTCTAGACCTATGTTCCTGCCTTTTCCCCAACCTACAATGCCTTCCATCCCATTTCTGTGTAACCAAATCTTATCCACTCTTTTAAATCCCAGCTCAAATACCACCTCCTCTAAGAAAACTTTCCTGCTCATCTCTTCTGTCCTTGAATTTGTATAATATTGTCTTACCCTTATTTTATTTACATGTTGAAAAAAATTGCAAGTCCCCTATTGGAATCTCCTTAGAATCTCCCCAGGCCTTAGCACAGTGTTTGAATAGGTAGTAGGGATTCACTACATTTTTATAAACATTTTTTTAAATTACCAAAGTAATGCATGCACATAAGCATTTAAAGTGTGAAAAAGTTATCAAATAAAAAGAATGAATCCACAACATTTTTTCCCTATTTACTCCTCCTAAATTCCCCAGCTGTAACCACTATTATAAATTTCTTATATAACTTTCAAAAATTGTTTATGAGTATACAAGGATATAGGCATACTTTTTTTTTTTTTTTTACACAGATGGGATCATACTTTGCATCTTGCCTTTTCCACACAACAATAGATCTTGGAGTATTTTTCATACCATATATGGATTTACTCAATCTTGTTAATGTCAATTTGCACATACTTATGCAGTAATAACTATAAGATACATTTTTATTAATGAAATTTTGAGTCAAAAGTTATACCTGTGCATTTTATGTTTTGACCACATTTCTATCCAGAGGCTGTATTTAGCATGTGCAAGCACTTCTGCTTCCCAGCAGTTGAATTTCCTCTGGGTATTTTCATAGTTTTAATTCTAAACCCTTGAAGAGGTAAAAATGGTATCACATTATTCTTTTTTTTAATATAAATAAATGTATTTATTTATTTATGGCTCTGTTAGGTCTTCGTTGCTGTGCGCAGGCTTTCTCTAGTTGTGATGAGCGGGGGTTACTTTTCGTCACTGTGCGCAGGCTTCTCATTGTCGTGGCTTCTCTTGTTGCGGAGCACGGGCTCTAGGTGCACAGGCTTCAGTATTTGTGGCACTTGGGCTCTGTAGTTGTGGCTCGTGGGCTCTAGGAGCACAGGCTCAGTAGTTAATAGTTGCTCCGCGGCATATGGGATTTTCCCGGACCTAGGGCTCGAACCCCGGTCTCCTGTGTTGGCAGGCGGATTCTTAACCACTGCGCCACCAGGGAAACCCGCATTAGTCTTTTAATTTGTGTTTCTTTAGTTATGAGTGAGATCTAGCATTTTTTTATCTTTCTTTTTCACATTCCATTTCAGAGAATCTCCTCCTCTTGCATTTTACCTAGTTTTCTATTGTTTTTTAAAAGCTTCGTTATATGTTAATGAAGTTTTGATTTTTTCTGTTGGTTTGTCAATAAGTTTTTTTTAACAACAGTTTTTTGTTATAATGGTCATATTTAGCAATCTTTTCTCGGTTTCTGTGTTTTATATCTTGTTAGGAAGTCTTTCTCAATTCCAGGAATATTTTTTAATAGTTCACGTTTTCTTCTAGTACACACAGTTTCATTTAGAAAAATAAGTTCTGTATTAGAACCAATTTGAATTAATTTTACTTCAAGAAGTAAGAAAGGGATTCAGGTTTATTTTTTTCTAAGTGACCAGCCAAGTGTCCCAACACAATTATCACTCATCTTTTCCTCATTGATTTGAAATGCTTTTACGTATATGCTAAATTCCATACGTATTTGGATTCATTTCTACCGGATTCTATATTTGATTCCATTGATCTCTCAGTACGAAACTCTTTTAATTACTGTAGTAGTTACTGTAGTTTTATAATGTATTTTAATATTTGGTATTAGTCCCCCCTTTTTTTTTGGCGGTACGCGGGCCTCTCACTGCTGTGGCCTCTCCCGTTGCGGAGCACAGCCTCCGGACGCGCAGGCTCAGCGACCATGGCTCACGGGCCCAGCCGCTCCATGGCATGTGGGATCTTCCTGGACCGGGGCACGAGCCTGTGTCCCCTGCATCGGCAGGCGAACGCTCAACGCTCAACCACTGCGCCACCAGGGAAGCCTCCCCTTTTTTTAATTAAATATTTTCTGGCTCTCTGGCAGGTTCCTTGTGTTTCATTTCCCACCTGGATAAACTTTACTATCTTTGAAGAAAAAATTTTAAATTCTGTTGATTTTTCACTGGAAATATACTGAATTTATGATTAATTATGGTGAACTGATATGCTTTCAAACTGAATCCTTCCCTTCACTGAAGTCTTCTAGTAAGCTCCCCAGTAGCTGTTTAATTTTGTACATTTCATATTACATTTATTCCTGGGTATTATTAATTTTGTGCTGATGTAAATGAGATGTGTTATTATATTTACTTACTGGTTATTGTTTCTGTATGAAAAAGCTATTGATTTTTTAGATTTCAATAATATAAGCAGATATCCTTATTGGATTTTCTTAGTTTTTAGTAGTTTTTCTTTTCAGTTAAATCTGTATTTCACAGGTATAAAGTCATGTCAACGGCAAATAATAATAATTTTGCATCTTTGTTTTCAATTTTTACATGTATTTCCTTTGACTAATTACACTTGCTAACATATCCTGGAAAATGTTACATAGTAGTGCTTATAATGAACATCTCTGGCTCATTCATGATTTGGGGGGTAATTCTTCTAGTGCTTCATCTGGCCTTTGTTTAAGGAAGCACCTCTCTAGCTCTACATGGTTAAGAGTATGTAAGTGTGTGTATGCATATGCACACATGACTGTGTGTTTGAGGGGTTGATGCTGAATTTTATCTAATACCTTTTAAGCAAATTTGAATCAGCTATGCAGTTTGTAACCTCTGACTTATTAATATGTAATTAAACTAATAATTTTCCTATCAGGGAACCATCCTTGATTTCTTGGATTGGACCATACTTGAGCATAGTGTATTTTCTCCATTAATGTTTTACTGGCTTCCATTTTGTTAGTAGTTTATTGAAAATTGATAGTAAATGAAATTGAAATTGGTCTGTAGTTTTCTTGTGTCTGTGTGTGTCTTTTTTCTAGAAAAAAAAAGTTTTACCTTCATACATAGAAATTGAAAAAAATCAGTAAGAAGACGAACAACTCAAGCTAAAAAATGGGTAAAGGATATGATTATGCAATTCTCAAAAGAGGAATTAACAATGGCTAAAAAAATATGAAAACACCCTCAACATCACCTGTGACTTGAAAATTCAAACTGCTAACACCTTAAGGCTGCCTTTCTTATATCTGTATTCCCGGTATCATATAGAGAAAGAAATATATCCCTGCCTATTCTGTTAGTAATGACCATCTCTTTTGTCCTTATAGCTCCCGAATTCTAAGAAGCCCTGAAGCGCATCCATGGAGACACTTGGATTTTAATTTCTATAACAGGTAAAGAAAAATTTCAGTGGTCTCCACAAAGACAAGAATCTTTAAAGACAGTAGATTTCCCCTGATACCTGTTCAGGATTGCTTTCTAAACTGGGCTAAACAAGTTCCTTCAGCAGTGTAGCTCTGATGCTCTGGCTTGGACCTGCATACTGAACTCAGCCCCTTTGAAACCACCAGATGAATTGTTGCACAACCAAGTTGTTTGAGAAATCCCAGGTCTCTGTTTCTTCATCTATAAAATGGTGGCTTGTCTTGATAGACTAAAAGCAGGATGAAAGGAGATGATGTACACTGAAGCCTTTTACAAATCCAACGAAATTTGAAATATTATTAGTATTTTAAGAATCACAAGTGGAGCCAGCAGAATCCATGTAAAAAGTTGGCCTCTCAGATAAAAATTTTATAAAGGGCACCTAGTCTTTTCCATACCAAATAAATCAACCTCTATAGGAGAGGACCTTTCTCACATGGCTACCTTCTCTGCCTCCCCGCTCTGCTCCCATGCTGCCTGCACTCTTCTCCTCACCAGCCCCATTTCTGCTGCTTCACAGAGTCTGCTCATTGCTTGTATGGCATTTGCACCAGGGAGAGAAGGGCAGGTGGAGGAGCTTGGACAGACACGTTCCTTCCATCCCCTCCTGGCAGTTTAACTATTTCTCATTCTGCTCATTGGGGCTGCAAAGTCAGCGAAGTAGAATTTCTTTTCTACTTGGTTATCAGTCCTACATTTAGCATAAGGTTCCAAATGTGTGGAAGATGAGGCTACTCACGAGACACAGAGGCACAGGACTCCGGGCATAGACTCACTGTCTCTTAACAGAAAGTTGCCGTCCCCCCCTTCCTTGAGCAACAAGGTCTCACAGTCTTGCTTGGACAGAGGGCCGTGGTAATAAGGCAGATCCATGGTGAGCCCTCTCATATCCCAAGTTCAGGGACAACTCTGAGGAGAGAAGAGGAAGCAGTTGGCCTAATAGAGCCTGTAGAAATACCTCTTCCTTCTCTGACTTGTGGGAGTGAGATGAGGTTACTTGTGGGACTCAGATAGTTTCACAAGATTCAGGAAATGTGAGAGGTGGGGTAGTGAAGTGACCAAGACTTTTCAGCCTGTAAATAGACCAAGTATGACTCATAGAAGTGGGTTACCCAAAGTGCATTTGGGTACACACCAGAATCAACGATATTTATGGCTCGAGCTCAATGCCAAAGACAAGCCCCCCAGAACTGGGTTGCAGCCTTGTATATCACCCTAAATCACCAGTTTTTACCTTCTCTGGCTCATGGCATCCCTTCCAGGGATCACATCACTGATTTTGGCTGAAATGGATGCCCATTTTCTGCTGAAGCTGCCTATGGTTATGCTATGCTTAGCTCAGAACAGGTGCTCACAAACCGTTCAGATGCTGAATGAATCCAAATATGTCCAGACTCAATGGAACAATTGAGAAGGTAAGATGCGTCTATGGGTCAAATGACATGAGAAATGTAAGACAGTAATGGGAATAGAAAGCAACTGGATGCTGTGGGGGGAGGATGGCTGGGGGGCAATATCCCCTGGCTAAGGCTCCTTGCCACTGGTGAACAAAGGCCATTTTTACATCCTCAAGCATCGTGCCTTTTGGGGAAGGAGCTGGTCCATGTGCGAGGGATATCTGGATATGCAAAATTAGTGCAGGGATACTTCTCCAGGTGGAAGAAAAGAATATATTAGGCTTGGGTTTGAAGAGTCTCAGGTCCTTTGAAGTTTCCATCCTGCAGGACAGTAGTGATGACCAAGGAAAGTCTATCTAGCCAGGGACACTTAGCCCCCTTTAGACAACCTGGTGTTGATGAGAAAAATCTCTCTTTTTCTGCTGAGCCTTTTCTACCTTGGTCAACTGATATGCTTGGAAAAGATGGTTTCTGTTATCTGAGAATCAGAATTAGTCTTAAGAGTAATTTCTGCTGCCTTTTTTCCCCAGCTTTGTTGAGATACAATTGACATATAATATTGTGTAAGTTTAAGGTGTGCAACGTGTTAATTTGGTACATTGCAAATGATAACTACCATAGCATTAGCTAATACTGCCATCTTGTCACATGCTTACCATTTCTTTACTGTTGTGAGGACATATAAGATCTACTCTTGTATCAACTTTCAAGTATATAATACAGTATTATCAATATTAATTGTAATCACCATGCTGTACATCAGATTCCCAAAACTTATTCATCATATAACTGGAAGTTTGTACCCTTTGACCAATATCTCCCCATTTCCTCCAAGGCTTTTTGAGCAACTAAACCATCCTACATAGTGTTGTTTTATGTTCAAATAAATCTTTATTTACAAAAAGAGACACTGGCATGATTTGGTCGCCAGCTATAGTTTGTCAATCCTTGATTTAGAATAGTAAAATTTTTAACTGAGTACATGACTGCCTAGCTAAAGGCTATTTTTCCTAGCCTGCCTTGTAGCTATCTGTGACGATGTGACTAAATTTAATGTCAATATAGATTAGCATCCTACATAGTATTACTTAATTAGCTATTAATTAATTAATTTCAGATAGAAGCCATGTAAACCTATCTATAATCCAACGTTTTAAATTGAATTACGTTTACTTAACTTTAACAATTACCATCACACAATGTCAATTAGTATGAACTATATGTAAATTTCTCTCCCTATTCACCTGCCTTATCCAAATATCTATAGGAATTTGTACATATCTCAAGTACCTCTCTATAAAAATAGAACTGTGTGCTCAGGACACATCCTTACTTCTCTTAATTCCTTCTTCACTCAGATGATTATTTTATCTTACTGCTTTGCTTACCAGCTGTCTACCCACTCTTGGGGATTTGTCTTACATTGAACTTTCCTGTAGCAGATTTTTGTTCTTCCTTGGAAGTCCCACTGCTCTGCTCTTGGTTTAATGTAGTGTAATGGAGTGACGCTAACTGAGGAGCTTGTATCAGAGAGATATGCTTTCAAACTCCAGTTTCTCTTGTGTGAACTCAGGCCATTTGGTGTATAATTTTTTTGAGAATTATGGCAGTTGAGGAGAGAACTTTTACTCATGAAAGAGGAAATTGGGTACTAAGCTTGGTGTGAGGATATTTTGGGGCATAACAGAGGAAATAATTGGATATACACTCAAGGTCTTTATCATCACAGGGGCTTTCATGCCTTTTTTTCCTGTTTCAAAACCCAGTCCCTTCATCCTCACTCATCATAAGAGAAATGAAAATTAAATCCATACTGAGGTAACATCTTTCAGCAATCATTTTCCAAAGAAGATATACTAATGGACAACAAGTACATGAACAGGTTCTCACAATCATTAATTACTAGGGTAATGGAAATCAAAATCAGAATGAGAAGTCATCTCACATATGTTAGAATGTCCATGATCAAAAAGACAAGAGATAGCAAGTGTTGGTGAGGATGTGGAGAGAAGTGAACACTTGTGCACTGTTGGTGGGAATGCAAATTGGTACTAGCACTGTGGAAAACAGTATGGAATTTCCTCAAAAAATTAAAAATAGAACTACCATATGATCCAGTAATTCCACTTCTGGGCATATATCTGAAGGAAACTAAATCACTATGTTGAAGAGACATTTGCACCCCCATGTTCAATGAATCATTATTTACAATAGCCTAGACATGAAAACAACGTAAGTGCCCATCAACGTAATAATGGATAAAGAAGATGTGGTAAATATATATACAATGGAATACTATTCAGTCATTAAAAAAGAAGGAAATCCTGCCATTTACAACAACAAGGATGGGCCTTGGAAGCATTATAGTAAGTGAAATAAGTCAGACAAAGACAAATACTATATGTAGTAATTTGTTGCAGCAGCAATAGAAAACTAATACACCTAACAAATCTGGTTCCCTCAGGAAGAAAATCCAGATTTCTCTCATGGAGGATGAAGCAGCTTCCCTTAACTTTTCTCTCCTCACTCATCTGTAGTTACATTGAAGAGTAGGATCCTATTTACTATGAATTAGCCCAGCAACCAAGCCTTGTTGCAGGAAAAGCATTTTAACGTCCTTTTCTCTCATACTGCTCCACGAACAGTCAAGCCTGTTCATCTAAATCAAACTGCATGAAAAAAAAGTTACCTAATGTTTACTTGCCAAATGAACAAATTCCTAATCACATCTTCTCCTAAAATTCATACTTACCAAGTTTACCTTTTATATGTGATTGGAGTGTCTCAGCCGCTTTTGAGATTTTTGTTTGCATTCTTCAGGGTTTTCTTTTTTCATTCATGCTGGACATGAATTTTCAGAGGACACTATCCAACCCAGTGTACTTTCCTACTCCCCTCTTCTTCCACCTCCTCTTCCTCTTCTAAACCTCAGAGTGGTTTATGAGATGAGCACCATCTAAATACAAACTGTAGAAATGAGCTCCAAGGCCCTGAGAGAAACTATAGAGCAGAGAAAGGATTTATCTCAGTGATAAAACTCACCTACAGATTCTGGCTGAAGATTAAATAACCTCAGATGAATTATTTGATTTTTTCTTTTGTTACTTCTGAGTATTTCAATTTTTAAATAAAGTGATGCATGTAAAACTATTTTCCATTATACAAAATAGTTGAAGCAGTAAGACAGATACATTATCTGTTTTCACCTCTTAGATGTCATGGATATGTTCATATTAATTTAACACCAAGTTATTATTTTCAATATTCAATACAATTATAACACAGCTTTTAAAATTTTATTTGATGAATGATAAGGAGAAAAAGTCAATCTGTGGTAGAGGGACTTTAGGAAAGCTGATAGTTCAAGATATGAGGAAATCAGAAAATAGGGGGAATTCAACATTGTAGTGACATCTACACACTGTTAGTAGATGAGTAACATCTACCACATTAAAAAAAAAAAACAGATCAATTAAGATAGTATCTAAACTAATTTAACAATTCAATGCCCTGTGTCAGTGTATCTCTTAGGATCCTTTTTGTTGCAAAAATAAGCTCCAACTCAAATAGCTTAAACAGGGATGAAATTCATCTTCCATCCCACTGGAAGTCCAGAGGAGGCATGGGCTCCTAGGCCAGTTGGTAAAGCAGCTCAGTGCCACTGTTGAGGACCCAGATTGTTTCTCTCTTTCCAGTTTGGCCTTCTCAGCAGGCAGCCTGGCTCTTGTGGTCCCAGGATGATTGTCAAAGGTCCAAGTATTCCATCCACACACCTTGTGCAGGTAATTGATCCTTCTGGCATCCCCAGGACCCCTGGGAAATGCTCTGAGAAGGTCAGGGAGTGCTGAGAAAAGGACACACCCATTCCTAGCACACGCACACACACACACACACACACACACACACACGCCCCACTGTCCACATAGGTGCTCTGGCCTCTCTCACTTCTTTTTCAGGTCAGGGCAGTGGCAGGTACTTACTGTCCAGTGATGTAAATTCTCCTGGGACAAGTGCCCCTTCGCCCTGTGATCCTGGACATCTTAGGAACTTGGCACATCCAGGTACTGTGCTATTCTAAAATATAGTGACTACATAGAAAATTTGAAGATCAGTAAGGCCTACAGATCAGGAGACCATTGCCATGGAAAAAACACCTTTTTTCTCACAGTTCCCAAGAGGAGGGGGCACATGGGAAAACATAGGTCACAGGCACAAGAGCAGAGAGGGTGGGGGGGAACTGAGGTCATAGCCTCTATTGTGGTTTCCCTGGGGAGGAATAGGTGAGGCAGGGTAAGCAGGTCTAGAATTGGCTAGTTTGTTTGTTTGTTTGTTTCTTCTAAGAAGTCTCTATTACTTGTCAGGTGCAAGTCCCACAATCCTTCATTCCAAATAAAACTAATTTTATCTGCATCTCCTCTAACTTACGTTCCTTACATCACAGGTCTTTTTTTCCTACACAGTATACAGAGAAGAGAAAGTGCATGTGTGTGTGTGTGTGTGTGTGTGTGTGTGTGTGTGTGTGTGTGTGTGTGTGTGTGTGGTGTATGTTGGTGCTTTCTAACTGAGAGGTAGTTTATTATCTAGTT